GCCCAATGGCCTGTGATGGGATGTTCGATGGGGTGGGATCTGAGTTACTACAGAGAATTCTTTTCAGGGTGTCTGGCTGGTGAGTCTTGCCCATATGCTCAGGGTTTAGCTGATTGCCATATTTGGGGTCAGGAAGGAATTTTCCTCCAGGGCAGATTGGCAGAGGCCCTGGGGGTTTTTCGCCTTCCTGTTCAGCGTGGGGCACGGGTCACTTGCTGGAGGATTCTCTGCACCTTGAAGTCTTTAAACCACGATTTGAGGACTTCAACAGCTCAGACATAAGTTAGGGGTTTGTTACAGGAGTTTGTGATGCAGGCAATATGCAATTTTTTTTACTTGTGAAGTGAGCAAATTGATATCTCAAATTGTAAGAAGAAATAAACATGAAATCCCACAATGTCATTTTTAGAATTACTTTATTGACTACACCCTTCATTTAAAACAAATTGTTCCTTCTTCACAACTGTACCGTGCTAACTGATGTTCTCTTTGAGTAATGCTGTCAGCTTCCTGGTTTGATAAAATAATCTCAGTGAATGCTAAAACTGTGGTAATCTTTGTGGCACCTTAGAGACTAACAACTTTATTTGGGCATAAGCTTTCGTGGGCTAAAACCCACTTCATCAGATGCATGGAGTGGAAAATACAGTAGAGGTATAAATACACAGTATATGAAAAGATGGGAGTTGCCTTACCAAGTGGAGGGGGTCAGTGCTAATGAGCTAATTCAATTAAGGTGGAAGTGGGCTATTCTCAACAGTTGACAAGAAGAGGTGGAAATCACTTTTGTAGTGCTAATGAGGCCAATGTAATGAAGGTGACCCATTTCAAACAGTTAACAAGAAGGTGTGAGTATCAGCAGTGGGGAATTAGTTTTTGTAGTGACCCATCCACTCCCAGACTGGACACCATCAAATTAGGCCTGAATAAAGACTTGTTTTTGCTGATACAGACTAACACAGCTACCACTCTGAAACCTGTGGTAATCTTGGAACTCTGACTCAGATTCCTGTATAATTATATGATATTTGCTCACCTGTGCTGCACTCATGGTGACTATAAAATAAAATCCACAAGAAATATTTACTTAGAGTCACACAGAGGCTTCTTTCGTTAATGCTAAAAGTGTCTAAACTGGTAAGAATTTAATTCTCTAGTCAATGATCTAGTCAAGTAGAGATGGACCCAAACTGAAAGCCCAGATTGGAGAGAGAGAGAAAGAAACTCCCCAAATTTAGAATTTTTGAAACCCAGATCTGAATTTTGCAGCTCAGAGGCATCTCTGTATTAAACATTTCCTGCTATTTCAGCAAGCCCTTAAGCTCAGAATAGATCCCAGGCAAAATGCTCTCACTCTCTTCGTTCCCAGCCTGTGATCCTTTCCTTCAACATCTGCCCTCTACCCAGACTTGACTCTCAGTTCTACCCTTCACTGCCAGCACTTGCCATGGAGCTCACAGCACACAGACTAGACTACCCGACTTCCGCAGTGCAGTGGATTACAATACATTAGATCAACAAGTTTATTACTTTTAAAGGAGGCCTGTTAAAGTTTTATACTAAAATGAGTTAAACTCTACAATTGTGTGTTAAATGCTGCAAATAGAAGAGGTGCAAAGGTACATTCAACAAAGAAATAGGCTTTTAGGTTCCTCAAAGACTATCTAGTTGGCCTCAGATCCCCTGATCCCCAGAATGCATCAGTCTGTGATATAGCAGCTATCAGAAACCACACAGCCTATGGAGATAGGCTTTATGAGGGTTATAAACATATTATACAGTGAAACCTGTCACAGAAACCACTAGTATTAAGCAAACTCCTGTGTTAAGAGGCCAAAAAGAATCCCCAAATATACGGAGTACAGTTCAGATCCACCGTTATTAGAAGACATCTCTCCCAGCTAGGTTTTTGCCTGAATGAGCACTTTATCTATGCATATATAATCGTTACATATAGAGAGAAAGTGTGCATGGGACAGATCTTCAGCTGGTGTAAACAGGCATAGCTCTATTGGCTTCAATGAAGCTACACCCATGTACACGGGCAGAGGATCTGGCCCTCTGTTTCTGACGTGTGTACAGTGCTTCAGGAGCCTTCAGGATGAACGGCACTTTACACATGCAAATGGCATGGATCTGGAAAGCTATTTTAAGTGTATTTTTTCATCCCAGTGGATGTAAAATACTATTTATTTTTCAAAAATAAATCTCTGCCACTTGCTATTTGAGGCCTTCAGCAAATAATGTTGGGGTTAACTTATTTGGATAGCTATAAGGAAACTTCAGAGGTCACCTTTAAATAATAGAGTGTGTGTGACTCTGCATTTTAAGTTGTAACGAGGCCATCAAAAAGAAATGGTTCAAAGAGTGCATTTAAAATATTTCCAGTCTTTCAAGTTCCCATCAAACTCACCATGCTGATATTCATCTAACTTACGCTGTTGTCAACTAAATAAAGTTTAATGGAGTGAGACTGTAACTCTGGATTTCCTGCTTTTGTTCCTATGAGCTCAGACCTGTAGTGTTCTTTTTAAAAGCAAAACATGTCACAAAGAAATATAAAAAATGGAGTTTATTCCCCTAAGGGACTAGTCAGTGAGTCACACAGTTGACTTAGGTAAATATGTAACCAAGGTTTGTTTCACTAAAAGTGTTTTACATACAGGGCTTAATAATCAGCACTTTGATATTCAAGCTATTAGATTAAATAACAAAAAGGCCCACTGTGGCCTCAGCAGTGTTAAGCAACTACCACCTGAACATTAAAAAATCTGCTCCCTGGTTATGCTCCAAACTCAAGTCAATTTTATGTATGTATGTATGTATGTATTTTTATAAAGAGACAGAGTACTGTGGAGCTGATAGAAGTGATTCTATTCAGAGATGCAAGCCGCCCTGCATTATATTATCAGCCTGATTTTCTACCCTTCCCACAAGCCAAAGAGGATTGTTTTGAGAGATGGGCTCAAGCCAGACAATTTTGATTCCGATTTCAAGAACCTCCCCAAAAGTTATGGGGTGATCAGCTCCCAGGCTTTGGGGTTCTCCCTACAGGACTCTGTTAGGAAATCTCAGAAACATGCCCCACCCTCTAGTTCAGAGGAGGGGGATTAGTTTTGGCCCATCTTTATTATTCCTGCTATGTGATTTACTTTGGCATTAGTCCATGGTGAAAGTCTCTGTTTACAAAATGCCGCAAGGCCGTCAGACTTCCACGCGGGGGCTGAAATGAAGAAGGTAAAGAAGGAGCTGGAACAACTGGCCCTGAGGGAGCCTGCATTCTATTTAAGGTGTTAACCAAAACGATGTTTGTTATGTCTGTATGTCAGACTAGACAAGGCTGGAAGTATGCTCCAGTCCCTTAGCTTGTAAACTGCCATGGAAAAGGGGTTTGTGTTCTGGGCATGTAAAAAATCCACATCCATTACAGAAACTTCATAAACTGTGATGCTGACAAGAAATGAAGCCTTTACTATTCTTACTGAACAACCCCCTGAAAATGCAGTAAGTGATCTCCTATGCCCAGATCCATAAGTGAGTAAATATTCTGGAGCAAGTATAGGATTGTGCCTCTTATTTTTAGCAATTGGAACACACCACACTGAGGGATTTTCTAGCAATTGCTTTAATGGAGCTGTGTTCACTGGGGTAGCACTTGTGTCATTTACTGTCAATGACTTGCAGAAATGGCATGAATCTTATTTGCAGAATTGATGAGACTGAGGTAAGGTTAGAACTACTGCAGTAAGCACCTTGGAGGGGAGGGAGCTCAGATGCAATCTAACTAATCTATCACGTTCTTATTACAGGGCTTTCAGAATTTTAGGCTGTGTATGTTGGCAAGAAAGCCTGTAATGAATGCTGCTGCTGCTGTTTTCCAAAGATGGATCTTATCAGTTGGGCAGCAAACAAAGAAAGCATGTGTTGGGTTAGAATAAGGCCTTAAAAAGGAATTTAAAAAATAGTTAAAGACCCTATTAAAGTTCTATGTAAAGCAGCATTGGAAAAGCGGGTAAGGAAGAGTCAGCTTTGCTGTGATGAGTGATAAAATGTCTTCCAAACGTTCATCAATGTTGCTCTGCCATTCAAGGAGAAATGTTTGATGCCACCTTGCCCTGCTATACTTAAACTGTGTGCCTGGTGTACGGTCTCCCCTTTCTTTCTCCAGTATTTGCTACTGTTCTGCACCAAATGCTGTAGAAATAGAATGTTCAACATGAAATTGGAACAAATTACTTGTTAAGGGTGACCCTGCTTAGCTGATGTGCTCCGTTAATTTCTGAACGACGTGGTCAGCATTCCTAACTCATGGCCATGACCAGATGGATTGTCTTGCCAGTATGTTGATCTGGCAGATATAGCACTGACCACTGTTATTCAGGTTGTAAAACAATTTCCATTTTAACCCCTTGTTCTCACACACTCAGACCTTTCGGAAATATTGAGCTTCTGGGATGAAACTGTCCATGCTCACTACCTGCTCTAAGGTGAAATTGTTTGGAAAGCCTGAATAAAATCCCCCAATTATTTTAAATACATGACAATGTTTTTTTAAAACAAACAAACAAACAAACAAACACATTTTTATTGTAAAGTTATGACAGGGTTAAAAAATCCCACAAACACATATTTTTCCCATATATAAAAAAATTCTTACTTTTTTTAAGTGATAACTTAAAAATAGCTGAACTTCAAACTTGCTATGTAAAGAGGAATGAATGAGCATTATGTGTGCTGCTGAGTTTGGGGGAAAATGATATAAAAACCCCTCCTGTTGATCATCAGCAGGGTTTGAACTTGAGACCTTCAGCACAGATTTCAATTATTTGATCTAAAAGAGTAATTTCATTAGCTGATAGAAGTAGTAGGTCCTGCCCTTTTGCTTCTATGTAGCGCAGAATGGAATACACTTAGCTAGTGTGTTACATGGCTTTTCAAATAACAAAAGGTATTTTCCTGTCTCTCAAACAAGCAAAATTCTGCTCAATTACTCTACTCACCCAGGATCCCTTGGCAAATGTCTGTCCGAGTGGCTCCTCCAACTATAAACTGAGGATTGGTACATAACTCCTGAAAATAATTTTGTTAAATTCATGTTAATCTTGGCAGTCTGACAAAAGCTGCAGTTTGTTTCTGACCTATTTCAATTCAAAATCCAGAAAAAGACGAAATGTAAACATTTCCAATATATTTAAAAGATCAAGATTTAAAAAACGCTTTGGAAAAATATTCTTTAACTGTGTTATTAGCAACTTCTCAGGTTATAGATTTCAGAGTAGCAGCCGTGTTAGTCTGTATCCTCAAAAAGAAAAGGAGGACTTGTGGCACCTTAGAGACTAACACATTTATTTGAGCATAAGCTTTCGTGAGCTACGTGAGCATAAGCTTTCGTGAGCTACAGCTCAGTGAAGCTTATGCTCAAATAAATTTGTTAGTCTCTAAGGTGCCACAAGCCTCCTTTTCTTTTATCTCAGGTTATGAAAACTCAGCTGAACTTTAAATTCTAATGTACTTTACACCCTTTGAGCCAAATCCTGATGCCCTTACTCAGTCATTTCTGCCGCTGACATCAATAAGAATTTTGCCTGAATAGGGAGTGAGTAAAAACTGAGAAGGAACTTCAGGGTTTGGCCCTTTTTCTTTACTCTGCAATTCATTGGGCTCAGTCAATTCAACAAGGTTGGTCAGTTTCACTTCCTGGTACTCAGGCACCAGCATCCGGCTGTTATTTGGGATTGTGTTTGAACTTCCCACACCTATTTTCAATGCACTGAAAGGATACACATGCAAACATTTCTATTGCTATTAGTTTTTGTAATTCTCCCACTTTTTTAGAATCTTATTTTGGGGCCAGTCAGGGATTTTAAGTTAGAATGTCTTCTCTCTCCACTGCAAGTCTGAATAGCCCAGTTACAATTAGAGATGAAATTGTCCATACTCACTACTGTACTTGCTCAAAGGTGCAATGTTTGGAAAGTCTGAATAAAATCCTCCAATTATTTTAAACCTAGGACATAGTTTAAAGTCTCCCTACTCTCTCCAAGGACAAAAGTCTTCACTTGCTCTGAGCACTTCACCTGAATTTCTAAATGAAGGTGATAAGCAGCATACAGAAGAGTTTTTGGGGTGTAGGTGTTAAGAGAGAAGCTGAGATTCTTTCCCAGTGGGAGCTGGGCCCTGTTGACAGAGAGCTTGCTTCAGAATACGCATCTTTGGACGGTGGGGGAGCCAGGGTGGGTCTTATGATTTATGCTGCCCCAGCAAGAGAGGTTCCTACAATGCCTGAGAGGAGAACTAGTCCATTAGCTGGTTCTCCCTTTAGTCATGCTGCAGGAGAGAAAGGTGGGTCAGCTTTTGAGTCTCAGCTTGCATGAGATAAAGCTCTCTGAGGTGCTGCTTGCTTTGCTTATGCCTGCTTTTGGCCCGTTGTCGAGCAACCCCACCCCCACCGCCCCACCCACAGTATCCTGTTCTCTGGGTGGGTAGGGTGTAGGAAGGGGGCTGGGGCACTGAGCAGCCCCCTCCCAACTGCCCACATACTGCAGATCTCTGCTGCAGCAGCACCTCATGGCAAAAAAGTCCAGCGTGACTCATTTTCAGTTAGGGTACGTCTACACAACAATTAAAAACCCGCAGAGGCCGGTGCCAGCTGACTTGGGCTTGCAGGGCTCAGCTAAGGGGCTGTTTAATTGTGGTGCAGATGTTCAAGCTTGGGCTGGAGTCTGGGCTCTGCGAGGGGGGCAGGTCCCATCTACACCACAATTGAACAACCCCTTAGCCTGAGCCCTGCGACCCCAAGTCAGCTGGCACCAACCTCCATGGGTTTTTAATTGCAGTGTAGATGTACCCTTCGATACCTGTCATTTCTGAATCTATGCCAAGTGACTAGACAGTAAATGTCTTCCTAGGCATTGTCTACTTTCCTCCAATCAATTTTATACAAACCTAGTGACAAAGCACAGAAAAGAGGCCTGTGATGGAAGGATATCTGTCCATAAAACGGAGATGCACTAAGCACCAGGTGCGGGGGTGCATTTAGCACTGAGTGTTTGTTTCATGACTGGACATTTTCCCAGCAGGAACTTACAGACTCTGTCCAGTTCAGACAAAATCAGGTGAAGGGTAATTTCATTCCCCCAGAATCCAGGGCAGAGCTTACAGCAAGAAAACCCCCTGCAGAACAGAGAATCCAGGGGGGGAAATGAGCAAGACCTTTAAGCATGTTACTTGTCACTGAAGATTTCCATTCCTTTCAAAAGTCAGAGTCAGAGCCTGGTCCCTTCTCAGGTGAACTAATAAATGGAGGGTTAGGAGCTGCCCTTGTAGTTGCTACCGCATCCTTTGTGGTTGCTACCGCATCCTTTGTGGTTGCTACCGCATCCTTGAGGCTGCAGTAGTGTTCTACACAGCCTCTATGCACAGGGCATAGTCCAGCAGAGCTTTGTAGTTGTAGATTGTCTATGATTCTGTCCCTCCCCCAGGTTCCTTTCCACCACTTTGCTGCAACGTGCAGGGGATAAAAAGTTCCTGCCCCTGCCCAGGCTGGCTTTGCACCATTCAGAGCTGGAGGATTTAGCCCTTCTATTAATCTTTGGTGTTAACCCTAAGGTTGTCCATGACCAGCTAACACGTTGGTCATCATGACTCTTTGTCTACGCTAGGCACTGAGTGTTGTTTAACAACATGTTAATTCAAATGTGTGAGTTAAAATGTTTTCTCATCCAATGCCAAGTGTGGACATATACAAGATATGTTTCCCTAGCACTCACGCATGAAGTATTCAAGTGCCAAATTAGGAGGTTGTCAAAAAATAAGGGGGTTAGGGTGGAGACTTGTAATAAAAAACATTTTAGTGCAGCAAGTTTTAATTTTTCATTCATTTGAAAATTTTTGCAACATTTTTTAATTTGAAAATTTCTTTTTTGAATTTTTTCATCTTGGAGGAGGTTTGTGTTCAGTGTTACAGTTCCACTCCCCCCCCCCCCCCCGCTCTTCCCCTGTGCACACACATTCTTTTTTCCTTTTTACCAGTTTTTCCTTTTGTCACTGAAGGAAAAAGGGAGAGGGAAAGGGAGAGAAACAAGGGAAAAAAGGAAACCCAATAAACAAAACAAAAAAAAGCCACAAACCCCTACATTTTTCATTTTCATCAACAACACTAATTTTTTTTCTATGAAAAAGCCCGTTTTTTAAAATTAAAAATAAATTTCATTTAAAACGTTTCAACCAGCTCTTCAAATTATGGTATTTTGGAGGTTGGAATTTTTAAATTTTTATTTTAGTACAAGCCTAATTTTCCTGGAGTAATACCGGAAAACACATGACACCAGTAATAAGCTTTAACTGGCGACCAACAATTCCCAGGAGGTTTGAAGGTTCCATTTGGATAAGCATCAAAAGTTCAGATGCTTTTCTCAATTGTACTGAAACCTCTCAAATCCGCAGCGTGGTGCTGGAAATCTTACGAGAGCAGGCTCTCCCTCTGCATTTCTGGGGCTTCTCCCATCCCAAAGGGCTTGAAGTTGGACAGCAGCTTTTTTTATGATACTCCATTACTTTCACTTCTGGTTAGAAGGGGCGGGGGAAGGGAGATGATGAAAGGTGGCAAAGAATGAAAGGGAAGGCTAATCTGTGTCTTTTCCAGACTTCAAGAAAGTTCCAGCTCAGATTCAGTTTGGATTTTGGAGTGAAAGTTCAGGTTGAATCTGATTTGATCTGAATCTAGTAAAACATGTAATGATGAAGCTCTCTTACCGTGGGTCGCTTCCAGACAATACCCTGCGTTTTAGGGGAATATGGCCCCAAGTCCCTATAGCCCAGGGCAGAAGGACTGGCTGGGAATTCTTCATCCTTAAACAGAGTGCCAGACTGCAAGCACTGCTGCCTCAGAGCCTCATAATCCTGATTTAAATACTTCACTGCTTTCCCATTGGAGCCAAGCCCTTCTAATACAGCTCTCTCTTTGGACAACTTAGCTGCGACTCCTGCCATCACCATTTGCCTCCAGCGTGGTGGTGTGTGTGTGGACAGGACAGCTCCTATCTCATGAACAAGAGGGAATGAATATAAGTGAGTGGCCAGGTGGGGTGGAGCGAGTGAACACATTACACAGTCCAGCACCTTTGGAGGGAGGAGGCACAATGCAAATGCACATATGTACTCAAGACAAGAGGAAAGAGAAGCTGGGAGGAGACAAAGATCCTGGGCCGATGACTCATTGTAGATTCTGGCTCTCATTATCTTCTCTATTTGTATAACAGCGTGGGAGTTCCCTCTCTATATAGGTTTAGCAGAGGGCAGGGAATAAGGGGGAAAGTGTTTTAACACTAAAGATGGCTCCGAGCCACATAATTAAGATCAGTTCTGAGCCTTCATGGGTGCTTGGATCCAGGGGTTTTGTTCAGCCTGTTATAGAGGACAGATCAGGATCACAGTTAGGATTCTGATACCTTGGTCCTCCTCAAAGTTCAGGGATGTTCAACTTGGGGGAACATTATCAGAGAGATGGGGGCTAATCACAAAATCCAGGTCTGGATTTCCACCATCACCAAAGGATAGGGGTGCTCAGACCCAGGGTCTCACTGAGTTTTACAGTGTTTTACATTCAGAGAAACCTGCCTTACGTGACATTGCAGGTCAGTTTGAACCAAGTTGAAACATTGTGGCTTGTTGAACTGAACCAAAAGATTTTATTTAGAGTCAGTTCATCTGCATCCACCTCGACACTGCAGTGCTCCGTGGCCTGATTCTCTGCTCTGGGGTGGGTTCCTTAGCGAAACTACATCTGCCATGATGCACTGTAGTCAGCTCTCTGACCAAGCCATCTGATGCACCATGGGAATCCATGACTGCAGGTGCATCATGGGAAATGCAGTCTGGCTGGAAAGTCCAGGCTGTAGGACAGAATGAGGGCAAGAGGCATCCAAACTACAGCTCCACTGAGGCACCACAGCACCGGGTGCAGGTACAGTTTAATGTCAAAATGATTCCAAGTGAATTGCTTTGATTTGGCTCAACAAATTGAAATGAAATATTTCAGTTCAGAAATGTTGAAACATTTTGCTTTGAATGAAACTTCAACATATTTTGGAACTTTCCATTCTGTGACTAATGTCAATATTTCTTTTTTCATCCTGAATCGGGGCAAAAACAGATGCTGAAATATCTGAAGTTCTGATTTTCACTCAGCTCTAACTCTAATAGAGGTCATTGTTAAATACTCTTCTTGATAATCAGCATAAGATTTTCTTTGTTGCTTTCAACCCATTTCTCTTAATTGTGCCATTCCATATCATTCTGCTCCTGCCTTTGTGTTTACACCCACCAAATACTTGTAGACAAACAACCTGACTAGCTTTAACAGGTTCCCTTATCTCAGAAGAGGTTTCCTCCCCTAAGAAAAATTCTTTCTCTTTTCAACCCTGCTGCCTAAACTTACTCATATCTTCTGTAAACAAAGCCATTATTTACACAGGCCTGCACTGGTTCCAAAGCAAACTCTGCTTGGGAAAGCGTGATCATTCTAAGAGAAGGCAGGAGGGTGAAGTTATGTGCAGTGGGGACTAGCCTCCAGAAAGTTGCAGACATTGTACAGAGAGGAAGTTGTGCATAGGTCAGCTCCAATTGTATTGGCGGAACCAGAGCTGCTACTTTCAAGCTCCAATATCTGATTTAAAGAGACACTGCCACACCAGGGATATTTGTTCATAAAGGCAATAATATTTTGCATGTATAAAGCATCTTTTTTCCAAGGATCTCAAAGCATCATACAAATGTTGGTTGATTACACTTCACAACAACCTTGCGAGATAAGTAAATGCTGTTATCCCTTGTTTACAGGTGGGGAAACTGAGGCACATAGCACTTAAGTGATTTTCCCCAGGTCACACAGTGAATCTGTGGCAGAGCAGAGACAGAACCCTGGAGTACTCATTACTGGTCCATCTTAGATTTGACTGATAAGCACAAGACGCTGCCTCCCAAGACTTTCATGTAGCTTGCTGTTTGCAACATGTAGGTAAGCCTATTTTATTGGGCCATACTTCCCAATATTGCCAATGGCTAAAGCAGGATGCAGCACCACTCAGGTTTGGCCTGCCGTCCCTCTCTGTCTGGAGAAGTAGAGGGGCCAAACCTGAAGTGTCGTTGCAACCCTGTGTACCAGGTCATAATGCCACTCGGTTTGGGGCCCCTCTCAAATAGGGGGGTCTGGGGCAAACTGCACTTCAACGAAGACAGGAGGCTTTCAAGGGTCTAAGTGGGACAGTTCTATAAAACCTGGGGCTGCTGGGAGGTCTGCTGGGCTGGGTATATCACTGCCCTGTACTGGACAGAATGTCAAAGGACGCTAGTCTCCAGCACTGTCAGGGCACACCTTCTACTGGCACTAAATTAATTCACAAATGCATTTCTAAAAAAAAAAAAAAAAAAATCACTGCATCTCATTAGAGCAACCCCACTAAAAGCCAAGACACTGTTATCGTAATTAGAGATGGGTGCAAATTAAATACCAGCGTCCCACGCCCTTAAACTCTGGGGGAAGGAGGAGCTGGGGCCTGATTCTCAGCTTGCAGGTGGCCTCTCTCTGTGTAACGGATCACATCAAAACCCTGGCTCTAAACACCTTCACGTTTTGAAGTGTCTGAGTCCCAGCTCTGATCACAGTACATGTCTTTCCTTCCCCTTTCCCTGGTATGCTGCACAGGACTCTTGCTGTGGTGCTAAAAACAACTGTGTAGATGTTCCAGGTCAGGCTCTGAAGATTAGGGTGGGGGAAGGCTGCAGAGCCCAAGCTGGCAACAACTACACAGCTGTTTTTAGTGCTGTAGGGCAAGCCTGAGTCTGTTGACCCGGGGTCCGAGACTCGCTGCTGCGGGCTGTGTGGACACAGCCTATGGTTCCCAGGCTGGGAACTTCCTCATACCCCTTGTCTACAGGCTATATAGATTCTCTATTCTTACATTCAGTTTTGGGGGGTATTGGCAGCTCCAGGCTACAAATCTCAATTGCACTGTTTATTGAAATGCAGTGTTCTCTGGGATGTGTGAATCATCATTTAGGTTGAGAGACTGTCACTTCCTCTATGTTCTTTGGCGAGCAGGCAGCTCCACGCTGCAAATATATTAGCTTATGTCACTTATATTACATCCTGTCTACACTGTAACTCCTACCAAAGTGGGGGACTTAGTTGTAAAGCCACGGCACGGTTAAAACATAGTTTGTTCCCGTCATGTACCGCATGACTGAACTGTCTTTTCCCCATCTCAGTGCAGTACCATGTTCTATTGGGTCCACCACGTTGTTTTTACCAGGTAGACAGGACCTTAAAGATGATCAGCTGCATGGTGCAAGCTCAGAAAGCAGAGCATTTTCCTCTGCTCCCTCCTCTGATAGAAATGCTTGTTGTGATGTTATCAGCTCTTAAAGGGAAACACAGAATCCTGAACTCAGGGGCAGCAGGGCAGGTACATTTTCCAATATTTTGTTTTTTAAAAGTATTGTAACAAACCCATGGGATTTCCTAGTTGTGTGACCATACTGCACACCATGACCCCTTAGAACTTCATGGAGGCAGCAGGGATAGAACGCAGATTGTCCTACAACCAAAAGCCCTCCCCCTACCGCTTCAACAAAAGGAGAATCTCCACAATCAATCATCAGTAGAGGGTCTATGATACAGTTGAGCAGTTTTGATTCTGTTCAGTGGAGGAAAGTGATGCACATGCACTCTAGCCAGTTCATTATGTTAAATATCCTAGAGCAATACCAGACTATACATGTAGATTTAAAATTATAATTCCAAAAATTATCTACAGTATAAACCATTGAAACTTTTAACAGGAGAAAGAGCAACCTGACCACAGAAACACTGTTTCCTATACCTAGTGCAGTGCTTTATCCAATTCTGACCATACCATGAGCATGCTAAGAGATGCTTTGGGCATGAATCCTTAGATTTCTTCACCTTTGCAGCAAATGATGTAGATTCGATTCATAGATTCATAGATATTTAGGCCAGAAGGGACCATTATGATCATCTAGTCTGACCTCCTGCACAATGCAGGCCACAGAATTTCACCCACCACTCCTAAAAAAGACCTCACACCTATATCTGTGCTATTGAAGTCCTCAAATTGTAGTTTGAAGACCTCAAGGAGCAGAGAATCCTCCAGCAAGTGACCCGTGCCCCATGCTACAGAGGAAGGCGAAAAACCTCCAGGGCCTTCCAGTCTGCCCTGGAGGAAAATTCCTTCCCGACCCCAAATATGGCGATCAGCTAAACCCTGAGCATATGGGCAAGATTCATCAGCCAGATACTACAGAAAATTCTTTCCCGGGTAACTTGGATCTTACCCCATCTAAAAACCCAACACAGGCCATTGGGCCTATTTACCATGAACATTTAATTACCAAAACCATGTTATCCCATCATACCATCTCCTCCATAAACTTATCGAGTTTAATCTTAAAGCAAGATAGATCTTTTGCCCCCACTACTTCCCTCGGAAGGCTATTCCAAAACTTCACTCCTCTGATGGTTAGAAACCTTCGTCTAATTTCTAATCTAAATTTCCTAGTGGCCAGTTTATATCCATTTGTTCTTGTGTCCACATTGGTACTGAGTTTAAATAATTCCTCTCCCTCTCTGGTATTTATCCCTCTGATATATTTATAGAGAGCAATCATATCTCCCCTCAACCTTCTTTTAGTTAGGCTAAACAAGCCAAGCTCCCTGAGTCTCCTTTCATAAGACAAGTTTTCCATTCCTCAATGAAGCTAATTGATGATCTTACGCTGGCTGAAAAAATTCCTCATTGTGACACATTAACTGTATGTGAAATACAAACCACCATACTGAATTCTCATTGCCAGTCTAGCTTTAATGGACAGAAGATAGGAAATGTAAAGTTGAGACTGATGTTACACTTTGCCTCATGTCACTGCAGCAAGAAAAGGAAGCTAAGCAGGGCGAGTTATTAACCATACATTTTCTGGTTGGTATCCCTTTGGTGTCCCTATATTGCTTGGAATGATCAATTACTTTG